ATGAATTCTGAGTATTACAGTTTGCAGTGAACAAACCTTACACTGCAGTGCACGAGTAAGCGATAAATGGCAACCCGCCATGCTTTGGTGTACAGTATTCCAAGGCCGACATAGAAAGTTCGCGTGGACTCCTCTGGAATTTCTGTTTATTCTCTTTCGACTCAAATTTCATTTCATTTCATGTTTTCTCAAGCATGGAAACAACCACCACCATGACCCGCTCAATGCCTATCAGGCAATCGCAACATCAACCAGCCCATCTTCTTCCACTGGAAGAAATCGATGAAAGAATTCGACACGCAAAGACTATCCAGTCACTGATCCGAGGCTGCTGCCGGACAGGATTAAAAGACTTTCGCCTCCGTGCCGAACATGTCGCCGCAATAATGACCATCCCGCTGTCGCTTTTCGGGCCAAACGGGTTAATGTCAGAAAGAATTCTCGATTTTGAGATGCAGAAATTTATTGACGCTATCTCGCCGTCGTGCAAGTATTGTAAGTCAGCTACTCTGAGCAGCATGCACGGTCAGCTAAACCTATCAAAGATCTTCGACATTTACGCAAACGACACCGTGAGACTTTCGTTTCTGATCAACTTGGCCAGCCGTCTGTCGCATGCCCAAGCACTGTATCCCACGGTAGCTCCAGGATGGATATTGATGAGACGACCTCCTTTGAAGTCAAGTCGGAAGCCAGCCTTAAACTACAAATAATTGAGCCGCCAAGCTCGGCAGGAAGCGAGTCCGAGTATACCGACGAACTTCAAGCCGTCGAGCTACCCAGAATCGATAAACATACCCTAGACGTCGCGGAACAAACCAAATGTTTGGCGCGTGATGGTAATATCTGTGTGGTCACGGGTGCAAAATACCCGAATGCATACCATATCGCACCATTTACTTGGAATGATACTCAGGAACACATCGACAGAACATTCGATTTAGGGCCTCATCGAACCTTTTTAGTCGGGAAGGAATTTGCAAATCGCACTCGCTACCTAAATAACCGAGATAAGCCAGGGGAATCTGATAAGGCATGGAATATGATCTCTCTTCACCCCCAAGTCTACAGTTGGTGGTCCAAAGGATACATTGCATTTAAATGCCTTGAAGTGCAGTCTCTAGGAAACGGGGAGTCCAATGTGGTTCTGGAGTTCCGGTGGATGCCTCAAACCAAACGCTGGTTCGGCCAACAGATTGATATCTTCAACACCGGCACAGGACATGATCTAAAAGAATGGTTTAATGAGATCGATCAGTTCCATACACCTGGAAATCCGCCACCAAAGGCCCGCGATGGGATGAGAATTCGGGCCACTACAAGTGATGGAGCACCTCTCTGTTCAGGAAAGCTAATCGTTATACGAATGCAAACTGGAGAGGCCTCTCGCTTCAAGGACATGATTGACATGCAATGGGGTTGTATACTTGTTACAGCCTTGAGCGGTGCTGCCGGAATTTCACAGCTGCTTTCCGATTCGAATTCCGATGACAAAGTGATGCAGTGGATCCAGAACCAGGCAAATTTTGCTGAAGAACATGAGTTAGACTCTTGAGCGATAGCCTCTTCATTCTGAAGCTGTATCGCATCTAGGGGGGGAAATCACTTGTTAGTGCTCGGTTACACATATCGGATCATCTTCCTACGACAACAACTTAGTGGCGAGGGGATCTACGTTGACATACAGGTGTGGCACTCGGATACTTCGCCAGCACGCGTGGACTTCAACAGTTCAAGAATGATAACATGAAGCGGAGAAAGGCATTCGAAGATTCATCGAATCGCTCAAGGCTTACGTCATGAATGGGCGTTGTTGAACTCATTCCGACTTTTCGAGAGACCAGCCAATCCCGGCATCAACACTTCACCATTATACGAAACGAGCTAATTGATGGAATAAGTACAGCTTGTCAGAGGATTCAGCCCGTTGCTCTCAGAGATCTTTCAGGCCTAATATTATGCTGGGTACAAAGGCTAACTTGAAGCTATGAAATGGCTTCCTTTCCAAGATTGATCAAGCACAGTGACTACTCCGGTATTGAAGGACGACAACCACAAGCTACATGGCATCTGAGAATGAACAGTTTACAGTTAAAAAAGTTATACATATATCCTAGACACTCTGGACTTTCTTTTATTAATTACACGATAATAAACTGATGTGCATTATAGAATAAATACCATTCATTCCTCATTTAATAGCAATATCTGCCATGCGTTTCAAGGCTGCAGCCATTCTCAACAGCATCCAACTGCTGGACCTTCCCACCAGAAGCATGTACACTCGAGTTTCGTTGGGCTCGAAATCAGTTCCAATTCGAGAGACTTATAGAAGGCCTGTCAGAGGAGAGATAACCCGAGCACTCTGCCAAACAAGAAGCAAGTAGATCTCCATCCAATCAGTACTTCCATCCAGATATAAGCTATAGAACAGAGACGCATGCGCTCAGAAATCCAACACCTGTTATTCCGCAGCCCTTGCCTGATTCTGAACCCACTACATGCTTGATGCAATAGATGTTGGGCGATATTTATCTGGCGCGGTGGACAAAAAGAAGTTTGCCAGCTCTCATTTGCGTAGATTGCAAAGATCTTAAAAGTTTCATATCATTGTCTAGATAATATACGCAACGAAGCTGACTTACAGCATCTGCAGAAAAGTGCGACACAATCGAGTGCCATCTTCAACTGGAAGCCTAATCCATCCGGTTACAGAGGCTGGTCTGGTTCACAAAGCGACAAAGGGATCGTCATGATCACGGCTATGTGTTTAGCGCGCAGGGAGAAGTCATCTTTTGACCCGCTGACTCGAATGTTGGATTGTGATGATACCGCAATCTTGGTTCGTTTCTCGAGTTCGTTAATAGGAAGAAGGTGGGCTAGTTGGTGATCGATATGTCTGGCGGGTTTTGAGCAACTCATTGCGCCTGTGTGTTTTCTATCAAATTAAAGTATTGAAAGTCGAAGGTGGGATAAGTATGGGCAGTCCGGGTTTTGTTTTTGGCAAGGGAGGAGCTTCGATTTCAAGCAATACAATACAAGGATTTAGGTAAATTAGTAGAAACCTAAGACCTCGACCCTAAACTACTATATAAATGATTAGGTAAATTGACCTAAGCTTAGGGTCTCTCTTTGTTTGGCGTTCCGGTCTACGAATGGACGGGGTTTCCTTCTCGTCACATGTTTTGTTCGGTCATAAAGTTGAACGTCAGTGCTGAGGGATGAAGTCATCAAGACGCAATCCAATTGAACCCATCAATTTCTCGCACTTTACAGAAGCTCAGCTGTATCTCAATCATACACATCCGTAAGATATCGACACAGCGCCAAACATAATGTCTGGCGAAGATGAAACTCGTCGCTTCACGAGACCGATGCACCAGGTCTACGGCCACTTTGACAAAGATGCTAATACCTGGACTCCTCCTGATAACCCGGGCTCTAGCGGCAACAAAGAGAGCTAACTTTGGACAGATGCTTTCGGAGTCGTCAACTTCATCACACTCTATGAAGAAATAACAAACAACAAATATCTCGCCCTGGCCAAGCGCCTTGTTCAGACTGTGCACGACGTTTTGGGTCGCACGAGGGACGGAGCATCTCGTCTACCAGGCGCAACCGATGCAGAGCCACTTGAAGGTGGCCTGAGAATTGGAAACGAGTGAGCGACCGGGAGCGACAGAGATGGACAGCATCATCACTTTCTGACTCTCTGGATGTTTGCTGTCAATTGCCATTCCTGAGCCACCCAGGACCCGTCCTATAACGACTTGGCCATCCAATTAGCCAAAGCTATCCATCCAAAGTTCTGCTTCCAGTCTTCAGGTGGACTCAGGATAATCTGGAAGATCTCCATGGATATGGACAAGGTCCCCGTTCCCACCAAAGGGCAGGCACCTCGATGTTGCGAGTGGATTTATGGTCTTCAGAATGTTCCAAGAAACAGCAGTACAACAAGGCCGAAAGAACCAGTTTCATAAACAAGAAATGAGTGAATATGAGAGTCTCATGCATCAAAAAGGCTCAATGAATCTCAGTGGTGACCCATTGGATCTTGGTATGGGTTTATGGACCTGCCACTTCTACCCTCACGAGGAGTGGTCGCAGATATTTACTCGGCAAGTCATAGATCTAGCCAACAACCTCTTTGATGGAAATTTCACGGATATGAGCGGAAGCGCTTCCAAGAGACTGGCTTTCAGGGATTTTGGTGCCCGTTTGGGAGTCCACTGCGTCGAATCTGATGAGGCATTGAAAGAACAGGTCAGTAAACTGATCGAATTTTGGGAAGGGCATATCCATCAGCATGATACAGATGGCTTGAAACAAATTTCAAGGTCATGTATGCGGCGGCAATGATTCTTGGGGGTAAGCTTTCTGAAGCGATACGGGAAAGCTTGTTAACTTAGTCTAGCATTTCGGAAAGGCTTGATTACTGGTAGCGAGCCATGACAAGACAGCTGGCTAGCACAACAGACTACAGGGCGGAAAACGTTGCCAGAGATTTGGAGTTGATCAAATGGCTTCTGGTGCAGTTGGAGTTATTTGTTATTTGTTGGGGAGGCCTGTTGAGTGACTTGTCGGGATGTTTTCTGCTCGTACATCTGTTGCATGCGATGATCAAAGGGCCATTCAGCTCAGTCCACTCACAGTTCAGCATAATAATTTTTCAGGAGTTTTCTTCTTGGAAAGTCCTGTATATTAGGCTTTACCACTATCTACTTATTCGTCTAGTCTCTGAACCAATCCACCTGTGCTCCGTACTCTTCTTCTCACAAATCACCAATCCCTCAAGTCCGTACTGCACAATACCCAGTTCGTCAGTCAATCGCAAACAGTGAAGGGAGATAATACCCTTTTTTTCGTCGGTTTAATTACTTTCATCTTTTTTTTCTTGGTTGTTTCTGTTTTTCTCTCGTCCGTGTTATCCTCCAAGAGTGACGGTTAACTTTGCAAACGACCCGCACACTCCAGTCCTGACTGGTAGTCTTACACGCCATCTACTGGTTGTGGTTGTCGTTGCAGGGCTCACAGAGGTTGCCTCCGGAGAATATGACGACGTTGTTGCAACCGCAGTGGCAGGAGCACTTGGGGTTGGCCATGTCGACAGGAGTGTTGATGATGGTAGAGGCCTTGACATCAACGAGAGCGACCTTGCAGAGGTTGGAGACAGACGTGATGAAATATGTGGAAGGGCTTTTAGTAGAAGCCTTTTGTGTGGTGAAAGGGTGTCGAGTGTTGGTGTGAGGCTGTGAAGTTGAGAAGTTGGGATGGTTGTTGGTTAAGAGTTGAGAAGAAGGTTGAGATTGATCGAGGTCAATCTTCAATTTATATGGAGGTCTAGAGATCAAACAAATCTTTCTGTGTTCTAGCAGTGCCAGTTTGAACATACATACCACTGGCTTCCTGAGTGGACATTAGGCGCAGAGGTTGTTCTGGCAGTGGGAGTGTTTGTCGGGTGTTCGAGGCGTTGCGCTCACGTCAGAGTTCTGTGTCATTATCTCCGACTATTGTAATGAACAAATGGACAGCTAGATCGATATCCCTATAAAGAGCCCATGATTCATGCTCGTTCATGGAGGAAGCCTTGACAATGGCACAACACAAGGTAAGGTCAATTGAACAATGTCTCCATCCACGAAATAACACAGTAGCAGTTCAGCTGCCACTTTTGTGGACTACTATAGGCGTGAGCCTTTTGTTCCTCATTATATTTAACACTGGCATCCCTTCCAACCAGTCTCACCTAGGATGGATGACAGAGACACTCCCGTTATCGAGTTATTATGCAGTCAACGTCAAAGCCATCCCCGAACGTGCATTATTGAAAGGCTTCACAACTAAAGAACTATAAGATTTGGCCCAGAAAGCCCAGAAGAGGTGCCCGGAACAAAACTCGCGACATCAAATTAATGCTCAAGTGTGTTCAAGGGGGGAGAGAGAAATGGTATTTCAGGCAATACAAGTTTACCGCACAGAGCTCTGTGCAGCACAAAGAGAGTATCAAACCTGATTTATTGAAGTCATAGTTGAACCCTTTGTTATAACTCACCCGATTGTTCTGCGGCTGCCCTAGCTATATCACAGCATGGGTCGTCGGGTGTGTAAGGACTACGCAACCAAGAGACCAACTCCGCATTGTAAGAACCTATCCTAAAGTTGGGAAGTCCTAGCATAAAGCGGACCACAAGGCTAGCCTAAAACTTTTACCTGATGCTCAGGATACTTTGAGCATACTCTCCATTACTACGAAGCTTGTGCAACCATCCACGTACGTACAAGTGCTGAAGTGGCGAATACAAAGCAACTGAACGCTCAGCCACGACGCATGATAAACCACTTACTGAAAGCTAAAACACCGAGGCCACCATTGACAGAAGTTTATTAAACATTCAGTTGAATCAAACGGCCTATGAGTGAGTCTTTCCTGCTCTGGGAATAGACGGTTACCGAGGTCAAGTAACTGCCAAACCTCTAAACATCAAATATGTATCAACACTTGGGTACAGGATACTCGGCCTATGCCTCTCCGCTTTCACCATGAAAAAATGTTGATTCGTGAGCATACGCATGTGCTGAGACTTCACGCCAAGGAGTTATGTCTCTTTCTTATGGTTGATCGTTATCGGCCGCAACGCCCAAATGGCTCGAATATGTAGACCTTCACATAGAGGGATGTGCATCTCTCAATTACAACGTGGCGAGGTTTTAGGGAGACCAAGATATTTAAATAACTGTATTCTTTAACTAGTAATATTGGTGTCCATCAGCAGGCACAGCCTGTTAAAGATGATCCGTCTAGAGAGGGTATTTCATCCAGGTTTGGTATCTAAGGGGGAATTTTAAACATAAGCCACATTCGCGAGACTGCCACAAGGGAAAATCACCATCCAAGAACCGCCATTAAACAAAAAACCATCCCGTTAACAAAGAAAAGCACAGGCCGTTATTCCGTCGTATCCTCCTACGTCCAATCTCATGTAAAGTATGGTATCTTTAAAAGAAACGCAATAAACCTCCTCTTCCCTTCGCTAGTATCTCGCTTTAGCACCATGGACGTGATTGGTGTGACAGCAGTTCGAATTTAGTCGGTGAAGAACTTGATGACGTTCTGTAGATCGCGCAGGCCGACACCGTGCTTGGGGTAGCAGATGTATATCTCCTCGCCGAGGGCGCCGAACTTGGATCGGAATGATGCCTTGCGACGGAGGCCGAGACTGTCGACGATGGACCGGTAGCTGGCACTAAGGAACTTGGCCCGAATACCACCAACGTGCTCACCGGGGGTAAGCTTCTCGGAAACACCAGCGCCAAAGGTGACCTTTCCGCTAACGTTCTGGAGAGCAAAGCTCACAAGGACCTCGATGGCGCCGTTGACAGCACCAGGGAAATCCAGTGCCCACTTGACCTGCCAGCCATGGCGAGGAGCAAGCTTGGCCAAAACGACCATGGACATAACCTTGCCATCCTTCTCGGCAGCAAAGTATCGGCGGTGCTCCTGGTCAATCCAGGGGCGGACCTCAGTAAGGTGAACCTGTTTGCCCTTGCCCTTACGAGTGCCCTTCCATGCTTCAATGGCCGGGTTAGCACGAGAGATGAAGTCTTCGTCGGGCTTGACCTCATGGATCTTGACACCCTCACGCTCAACGCGGCGAGCCTTGGCAGCGAGGCCATCGATCTGGGCGCTGTTGTGCTTATCAGCGTCGACACGCTGCTCCTCAGTGCAAGACAAGCTTCGCCACCGAAGTTCAGAGGCAAGAATCTTCTGAACTTCATAGGAAACCAGCATCCAGAAAGGTGTCAATCGAAGGTCCACAGTAATGTAGTGGATAAAGTCGCGGATGACTTGAGTGTACTGGCTGCGGTCGCAGAGAGGATCACCAGTAATCATAGCAAACTTCTCGCGTTGGACCCAACCAACAGCGGCACCAGTGGAGTGTCGCCAAATCTGGAAACGATCATCGAGCCAGGAGGTGTTGGTAGCATCACCGTAGTTGGCAATGAGTTTCTCGATAGGAGGGGGAGAGTCGGCGTGGTGAGGCTTGGTGGTGTCAGCCTCGGGGTGAGGCAGACCAGGAGCCTTAGTAGGAAGAGACTTGGGATCACGGTGGAATAGAGATGCATATCGAACATCGCCAAGCTCAAGCATCCAAGCGACGATTCGCTCAAGACCAAGGCCAGCACCAGCGTGGGGAGGAGCACCCAGCTCAAAGGCAGTAAGGTAATCTTCCATACCATCCTCGGCCATGCCAGCGGCAGCCATGTTGGCGCGGAGCTCATCAACGTTGTGGATACGTTGACCACCGGAGCAAATCTCCTGTCCTCGAATGAAGATATCGAAAGATCGAGTCCACTTGGGATCCTCGGGGTCCTTGGCAGTGTAAAAGGGGCGTGCGTTGGCAGGGAACTTGTCGAGGACGTAGTAGTCTGTACCATACTTCTCGCGCACAAGTTGACCAAGTCTCATCTCGTCGGGAGTGGACAGATCCTCCTCCTCGACATCACGTCCATCATCACGGAGCATCTGGATACCTTCGCTGAAGGGGATAATGGGGGTCTCTTCTAGCCACTTGAACTCACCACTAGGCCATCTCTTGCGAATAACCTCGAGCTCTCGAGAGGCATAAACGGTTCTGAAGACTTCCTTGAGGAACATGTCGATGAATTGGATGACCTCATGATAGTCGGTGTCAATGGCCATCTCAAGATCCAGGCCAGTGTATTCTGTCAAGTGACGGTGGGTATTAGAGTTCTCGGCACGGAAGACGGGGCCAATCTCGAAAACGCGACCGAAATCAGCAGAAATAGCTTCTTGCTTGGCGAGCTGAGGACTCTGGGCGAGGAAAGCACGACGACCGAAGTAGTTTACAGCGAAAACAGCAGCACCACTTTCAGTGGCGGCAGGCTGAAGCTTAGGGGTGTTGATCTCAACAAAGCCTTGCTCTTCGAGGGTGTTTCGGAAGATGCGGGAGACCATTGAGCGGACACGGAAAAGCGCCTGGTTGGAAGGGTGTCGGAGATCGAGGATTCGGGCGTTCATGCGGTTGCGCAGAGTCTCTGGGGGCTTATAGTTGCTGAAGGGGAGGTTCTGAGCGGGGTTGACGAGATGGACAGACACGACATCGACCTCAACATTGGAATGTGTAGCCGATCGAATCGGTTCGGGAGGGGTCTTGAGGTTACCAGTGATCTGGACAAGAGATTCGGGGTTGATCTTTCGGACCCATGTGATAAAGTCGGCATTACTGGCATCACGGGCGAGAACACCCTGGACGGAGTGTGTCTGGTCGCGGAGGAGGAGGAAGTCGAGAACCTTCGAAATAGGTCGCTGAGTCTCGATACGGGCTCGGAAAGTGACTTCGGTACCGATAGGAAGAGTATCGAGCTGTGCAATTGTGTTGATCTCGCCAGGGTGAACAGGCCAATCAGAGCTCATGCTTGTTCGACCGCTGTCGAGAGAGGTGCGGCTGCTGGGAACAACAGCGCCGTTGGTGGTGGTGGTTGTGCCATCCATACTAGATCGAGCAGAGTTGCGCAGTTCAACGGCGCTATCGCGCATGGTTTCGCGAATAGTTCTAGAGGGAGACGCGGACCGAGGCGACGAGAAAGCCGAACTCAAAATAGCAGCGGATGGCCTTGTGTCAATGCTCAGCACTGCTGAAGCAGGCCGGCTGGTCTCTGGGCTCGCCATATCGAGCGACGTCGGTGATGATGTCAGACTGGTGGCTTTGGCTTGTGAAAGGACCGAGTCTATGGAGACGGCAGATAGTGGGGGCGTCGACGGGGCGTGCACTGGGGCTGGAGTGAAGGAAGTGATCAAACGTGAGGGAGTTTTAGGTGAAGAGAGGGAAGAGGAAGAAAAGGTAGAAGAAGAAGGCGAAGGGGGAGTTGGAGAATTTGTGGTGGCCGAGGATCCTTTTAGACGATTCTTTGAAGGTAGTGGCATGCCAAAGGCTGATGTGACGGGAGCAAGGATGCCCGTCATAGTTAGGTAGCGTCGCGTAGCGCAGGGCCGCGGACGGAACCAGGGCACGGAGGACAGGGATTAGAGGATCGGGGATTTGGGGGTGAATTGATTCCGATTGTGATGACGGGCCCTGGCCGGGAATGTCTACTTCTGTCTCAAAATGAAATGGATGGTTGGCTGGACTGCTCTCGACTGAGATGGAGGGTGTGGCACGGTGGGTCAGCCACACTTGAAAAATCCTTGATATCCTGACTTGGCTTGCTAGGGACTGTTTCCGCAATACTTGCTCGAGTCGATGACGATCGAGTGGGCTGCTTTCGGTTATTCAGATTCCTTCTTGGTTGTTACTCAGGGACAAGCCTTCGATTTGATCGTGGCTGTGACGAGGGAAGTATTAAATAGTGTATCAGGGGACACGAGGCTGGAGTCGATATAAGGGTTGAGCCCACGG